CACCACCAGTCGGATTCCATCGAATGCCAATGCGTTGTGTAGCACAGACGGCCACACCAGCAGAATAGGAACTTCTCTCGCGCTCGAAGGAAAGGCTGCACAACGTTCGGTAGCCAAGCGCGCGAGCGACGCGCTGGAGGTCGGGGGCGGCATGCTCAGCTGTTCCGATCTCTTGCGCACAAGTAGTCGACGAGTCAGAATTCTTGAGCCGATCCATCAGCGTAGCCCGACAATTGCCATTGCATGACTCAAAGAATTGGGCATGATTCTCTCCATCGCCGGCTGGCCGGGGACTTTTGCGAAGAGGCGCAACCTTCCCATCGCAAGGCCTTGGCAGCCCACCTAGAAGAGGCATTGGAATAGAAGATGCGCGGAACAGGCTTCCATCAGCCTCAGCCGCATGCAAGGGATGAGCGTCGGGAAGTCGTCGCACGCGCACGCTTGATGCTCATGGCCTCCAGCTGCTCCTCGAACGCCTTCTTGTCGGCTGTGCGCCCGTGGGATAGGCGCACCAGGAGCAGCAGGTTGATCTGCTCCACTCGTGGCACTTCCACCTTCGCCTTTTGCTTCTCCTGCAGCGGGCATGGGAGCAGTAACAGACTCGAGGAGCTCGAGGAGCTTCGCGAAGGACGCGGACCCCATGAGCTCTTTAACATCAGCATTCGATTCATCTGCAATTACTTCAGGCGGCCGACTCCTGGGCTTTCAGCTACTTCCCCTCAGCCGCCTGGAGCTTGAAGGCCACGTTGGTATGCTGTTGCAGCGGAGGCTTGGAGCTGCGCTGGGCCTGGCGGGCCTCGCGCAGCTGGTCGAGCAGGACCTTCTTGGCGGGGTCGTTGTCGTCGACCTGCTCCAACTGCTTGAGAGCACCCTCGGGTGATTCGACGCCAGCAGCTCGAATATTGTCAGCATTGGTGCAGCAGGAGGAGCGCCAGCAGAAGCATCGCCCCCCCATCCGAGACGCAGGCGGCTCCTTGGGTGGCTTCTCCTTGAACGCTCTTTTGGGACGCTGGCCCAGCTTCTGCCCCATGGCAAGGGTGATCTGCTGGACAAGGTCAGGCGGCGCACTTTGAGCCCACTTGCCACCTGGACCCTTCGGTTGCGCCCGCGCTGGTTGCGATGTCCACTCCTTCTCATGCTTGCGAGCAGTCTGAGCCACGCGCTGAGGAGCAGGAGAACCACGCAGACATTTAATACGACAGGCCCAATTCGCAGCACGCGTACACTGCGAGCAAGACCATAGAGGCAAACGAGGGCCTCTGAGCACGGATCTATCGCCTGACATGCTGCTGCCACGGGGATGGTTGGTGGGAGTCAAAATCGCCTTGGCCCGCCGACGCAGTCCGCTCGGAAGGAATGCGTCGGCAAGCTCAAATAAAACTGTTGAGCCAGAACGGCTGAGGCCGGTGAGGAGGACGAGGAGGTGGAGGAGGAGGAGGAGGACGCGTTGCCCGCGGCTCTCCGCCGGGGAATTTGCGGCGGCGAATGTTCACGCCGCGCTGCTGCCCCTCATTATCAAAGTGAGGGGGCCGAACGGTCATTCATTGTCTCTGGGTGCGTGGCTGCAGTGGGGATCCGTGGTGGGGATTAATGTTTGTTGCGTTGTTGTTGTTGTTGCTGCTGTTGTTGTTGTTGTTGTTGCTGTTGTTGTTGTTGCTGCTGCTGTTGTTGCTGTCGTCTTCACTCCCGCGACACACCCGCGACCCACCCCGCGACCCACCCCGCGACCCACTCCGCGACCCACCCCGCGACCCACTCCGCGACCCACTCCGCGACCCACCCGAGACCCACCCCGCGACCCACCAGCGATCCACCCGCGACCCACCCCGCGACCCACTTGCGACCCACCCGCAGCCCACCCCGCGACCCATCCGCGACGCACCCCCGACCCAACCGCGACCCAACAGCGACCCACCCTCGACCCATCCGCGACCCACCTACGACCTACCCACATTGGTTTAACGAAAAAACGGCGCCTGTGGCGGACTTGTTGTATAATTAGTGAAACTTTGGCGCCTGCGGCGGGGTTGTCCATAGTCCCGCATATTGCCGACGTCCCCACCGCCCCCTCACTCTTATCCGCCTTTGCGGGGTGCTACGATTACTACACCTTCTTCTCCTTCTTCTTATAATTATTAGTATTCTCATTGTTATTATTCGTATTATTATTAGTATTATTATTACTATTTATTATTATTATTAGTATTAGTAGTATTCTTATTGTTAGTATTATTATTATTAGTATTATTATTATTACTATTATTAGTAGTAGCAGTATGATTATTATTAGTAGTATTATTATTATCATTATTATCATTCATATCATTATTATTGATTGTTATTGATATTAGTAGTATTATCAGTATTATTCCTTTTACTATTCGGTTATCCCCCTCCTCCTCCTCCTCCTCCTCCTCCTCCTCCTCAGGCCACCGCTGCTCCTCCTCCTCCCCCTTCTTCTCCTGCATCTCCTCCTCATCCTCTTCTTACTCCTCCTCCTCCTCCTCCTTCTCCTCCTCCTCCTCCTTTCTTTCCCTCCTCCTCCTCCTCCTCCTCCTCCTCCCCACAGAGAGAGAGGGCCTGTCGCCGTGCTTCCCCCCCTCCACCCCCTTTGTCCTCTCAACGGTGCCGCGTCGCCGCGGGCAGCACCACGGCAGAGTGCGCGCCGCAGCGGCCGGGTGGCGAGCAGCTGGAAGGGCACGGCCTCGTTGCCCGCCTCTCGGACGTCGGCCGCGCGGGTGCTTGGGACGGAGGGCCCGATGCGTGTCGCCACCCGCGCGGCCTCGGGCTGCGCAGCTGGAGGGAGGCTGGTGGCTGCCCGCTGGCGCAGCACCGCGCGAGGACGTCTTGCCAGAGGCTGATGGCCGGCAGCGAGGAGGAGGAGGAGGAGGAGGAGGAGGAGGAGGAGGGAAGAGAAGGAGGAGGAGGAGGAGGAGGAGGAGGAGGAGGAAGAGGACAAGGAGGCCACGCCCGCGCCGCCTGGCAGTTTGAGCTGATCTCCACCGCTGCGCTCGGTGCCGCGGCTGCTGGTCTCAGCCCGCCAGGAGCAGCAGCCACGAGGGAAGCCTCCGACGACTGGAGAGGCCGCCGGGGACGAGGGCCAGAGCGTCACAAGGGCTCTGGACTGGAGCGGCGGTCACGGCCAACACGTTGTCACACAGCCTCGTTGGGTCACGGGGCCACCACGGGGTCACATCAACCCCGTTGGGCTCCCGAGGGTTCCCGAGAGGGGTCACGCGACATGCCCGCCAACACGGGCGTCAGACGACCGCACGATGGCAACGCCACAAGGTGGACGCGGCCATGTACCGAGACCGCCGGTACCCTTGGCTCGCTTTTGGTTTGGGGGGCCTCCTGGGAGTCGCTCGTCGCCACGGGCAGAGTCGCTTCGAAACTCTGCGTCAGCGGTGTCCGCACCTGCCGGCTTCCCCAGAGGGACCCCCAGCTGCCGCCGCCGACGGCTGGCGACGGCGAGCGGCTGCCCAGGGCTGCGCGAGTCGCCGGCGCAGAGCGGTGGGCCCGCCGGACCAGCGGCCGCGCGGCGGGGAGGCATCCACGGGCCCGCTGCTGCAGCTGTGCTCCGGGCGGAGCGCGACGGGCCTTCTGTGCCTCTGCCAGCCCGCTCCCCAGCGCGCCTGCCAGCCCGCTGTCGCCCCAGCAGCCAGCCTGCACGGGCTCCGGCGCCTCGCGCGCGCCGTGTCGGAGGCGACGACAGGGGGGCGAATAGCCCAGGGGAGAGCAACACAGGCATTGAGAGCCTCCGACCGCCCGCCGACCTGCTGTCGCGCCCTTCCCCCAGCCTGCACAGGCTTCGGCGCCCCGCGCGCGCCGTGTCGGTGGCGACAGGGGCGAATAGCCCAGGGCAGAGCAGCGCGCGCATCCCATCCAAAGCCTCCGAGCACCCACGTCTTGGGCGAGGCTCCTGGGCGAATGCGTGTACCGCCCGCCCCATGGTCCATCCGCCCCTATCGCCCACCCCAGCCGTGGGAGCCCGTGCTGTTGCTGCGCTCCGGAGCTCAGCCCGCGCGCGGCGGCTCCGCGCCTGCGGCGCGCAGGGCTGGGCGGAGCGCGGCGCGGCTGCAGGAGGCTCGCGCGAAGGGCCGCGGGGGGCCGCGGCCAGGCCCCCAGGAGAAGCCAGGCCGGCCCCCGGCAGTCAAGGGCGCGCGCCGGCGCCCGCGCGCCCTCTCGGTCCCGCTGTGTGGCGCCGGTTGCCCCCCCCCTCGGAGAAGTCTCGGGTCCCCTCGGGTGTCATCTGTCATGGGATGAGGGTGTTTCTCGCCTCTCCCTGCTCCTGATCCTCCTCGCCCTTGTCCCTCCTCCAACTCCTCCCACCCCTCCTCGTCGTTGAATCCCTCCCCCCTGCTCGGCCCTGCTCCTTCATCATCCTTCCTCACCTCCTCCTCCTCCTCCTCGTCGTCCTCCTCCTCCTCCCTCTCCTCCCTCTCCTCCTCCTCCTCCTCCTCCTCCTCCTCCTCCTCCTCCTCCTCCTCCTCCTCCCTCCTCCCTCCTCCTCTCCTCCTCCTCCTCCTCCTCCTCCTCCTCCTCCTCCTCCTCCTCCTCCTCCTCCTCCTCCTCCTCCTCTCGCGGGCCCTGTGGCCACCTCCAGTCCGGCCAGCTCTGCCAGAGACGAGTGTGAACATACCCATGACCTTTGAGACCGCAGTTCGCGGCGTATGACGGGTAGCTGGCCTCCCAGACTTCTGTGTGCGCGGCCTTTTCGTGCGTGCTTCTGACGTGGCCTGACCTCCTGCTTCCCTGCTCCTCCTCCTACTCCTCCTCCTCCTCCTCCTCCTCCTCCTCCCTCCTCCCTCCTCCTCCTCCTCCACCTCCTCCTCCTGCTCCTCCTCCTCCTCCTCCTCCTCCCTCCCTCCTCCTCCTCCTCCCTCCTCCTCCACCTCCTCCTCCTGCTCCTCCTCCTTCTCCTCCTCCCTCCTCCCTCCTCCTCCTTCTCCTCCTCTTTCTCCTCCTCCTCCTATCCGCTCTGCCTCTGCATACGGCAGGCGAAGCAGTATTACATCGGCGACGACCCCGAGGAGCCGACGCGTGCGCGCTTCTTCTTGTGCCATCTACTGCGAAGGACCTCATAGCCCAGACCTCTGGGCGTCGCGAGTTGCAACCCGACGGGATTCCTTTGCTCGCGATGCGTGTCTCGCGGGGCCCCCGCGGGGCCGCGAAGCCGTCAGCAAGCACGGCCCGCCACAGAACGACACGCATCTTGGCGAGGGATCCAACCACATGCAGGTGCGATTGCCGCAGGGCAGAAGGGGGAAGTTCCGCGCAGGGGCCGCGGCGCGAGTGAGGGGTGTGCCGAGATGGCGTGGCGCCGCCACGCGGGCGCTGCCGCTGGGGCCTTCGGCTCAGCTTCCTGAGGGGCCGCGAAGCAAGTGAGGAGCGTATCCAAAGGAGGCGCCGCCGCCACGCAGGCGCTGCCGCTGGGGCCTTCGGGTGGAGCCTCCTGTGGGGCCACGATACGTGTGAGGGGTGCGCCGAGGTGTGCGGAGGCGCCGCCATGCCACAAAACGTGTGGTGCGTGTGCCGAAACGGAGGGGGGCGCGCGGCTTGTTCTCCAGCCAGGGCCCGCCTGCCCGTCGATACGCCTCCCTGCTTTGGGCAAACGCTGCCGTCGGGGCCTCCCTGGCCCTCTCGAATTTCACGCATTGGCCTCGGCTTGAATCTCGAATTGCAGGTTGAGGTTGAGATACGGATCGAGACCGTGTGAGGGACTCCATAGCGGTAGCACGCCCCACGTTGTTGAGCTGGAAAGCCGCATCGCGGCAGCATGGCAGAAGTTCCACGCATTCAAGGACGAGCTCACGGGAAGAAGACATATTTACGAGTTGACCAGCTACAACTCTTCAACGGAACCATCACGCCAACGATTCTGTACGGTTGCGAGATTTTGTGCCCTCGCGACTGAACTGGAAAACCGATTGCGTCGAACTTACAGGCAGATGTGTCGCACCATCGTACGAGTAACGAGACGCACCAAAGGAACTGCAAGCTCACAGCCGGCGCCACACCCGACCCAGGCCAATACCGGCAACCGACAAGACAGCAACCACCTGCACGACGCCGACTTCACGGACGAAGAAGATAGCACGACGTCAGACCGCACGCCCACCACAACACCGACGCGCGACGACCAGACAACGCCCGAATCGCGGGAGCCACGGGTAAAATGGATCAAACGTGCCTTTCACGACGCAGAGGCCTTTCACGAATCAAATATTGGGGCTCCATTCTGAAGCAACGGAAATGGAGATGGGTTCAAAATTCTTGACGCTTCGCGCATCCCCACCAGTCGTAGCTCGCTCCTGCGCGCTTAGAGTTAGAGAGTAATTTAGTCCGCTGCTCGTTAGCTGCGCCTTGACTCAACTTGACGCCGAGCGATTTGTCGCTACGGTCGCGATCAAGCAAAGTATCCCCACCAGCTGTTGTCTCTCCTCTCCTCTCTCTAGTGTGCAATTTAGGCTGCTGCTGGTTAGCGGTCGCCCTGGACGGCGCGCGGCCTTTCCGTTTGCGCTCGCGGTCAAAAACATCCCACCAGCTCTGGCACGCTCGGCGTTCGACTCGTTTTGCGCGCCCGCGAACCAAACAGTAGACCCACCAGCCCATCCAGAAGCGATGCCCAGGAGAGCTGACGGGGGGAGCGGGTAAGAGACACGCATCGGCAAAAAGCGAGGCTATCTTGAGCCATCTTGGAGTTCATATTGGGCTCTCCGAGGCCGCTTGGGGGCCACTCGGGGGCCTCTTGGGGGCCACTCGGAGGCCTCTTGGAGCCCTCATGGGCCTCTTGGGGTGCTCGTGGGACCCTCTTGGGGGCCTCCTGGGAGCCCTGGAGGGCCTCCTGGGACCATCTTGGAGGCAGTCGGTTAAAAAAGGGAGGGTCCTCGATGTTCGTCCCCCCCCTCGGGGGCCACGATCCTCGTGATGGGGTGTCAAAGACTGGCCCTCCCACTGGCCGAAAAAGGGGCCTCCGACACCTCGCGAAACCTCCAAAAATCCTCATGGAGGGGAGGGGGAGGGTTCCCCTCCCCGAAGGGAAGGGGGGGGGGGAAGAGGAAAGACCCTCCATAGACCACCTGTCGCCCAGAGGGCTGGTGGGATTTGAGCACAACAGGTGAACAATAATGGATCCGACAGGTGATCCAATGGACGCCGCACACGACCGAGCATATTGTGCAAAACGGAGACAGGGACGCCCGACAATGAGATGGATCGGCGACGTCAGAAGCCACGCAATGAACCACATGGATAATGGAATCACGAGCATCAACGGTATATTAAATGCTATCACGAGAGAGTTTTGGAATAGGATCGAGCAGGCTTGCTGAGCGGGCCTCATTTTCTGACGCTCCGTCGCTCCGGCGCCGCACCCTCAGCACCCCAGACGGTGTCCTTGTGCGGGCCTGCTTTGTGGTTCGTGCGCCTCACTTTTATGCGTGGTATGGCTCCGGACCAGACAAAGAACTCTATCCAATGCAAGGCCACTCCGAGCTCCATGATTCTACGCGTGCGAATTCGGCCTGGCTCGGAGCTTACCAGCCTGAAGCACATCCCTATCCCATGGTCGGCATCACCTTATGTTGGTGCCGATCTAAAGGGTTCCCTCAGCTTCTGAGGGCACATCCCTGAGACTGTCACTCCCTCGGGCTTGTCCACCTCCGGGATCTGGATGCGCTCGTGGCTGGTCGGGGACGTTGCTCGTGCTCCTCCTCCAGCCCCTCCTTGCAAGGAAGCTGGCCGCATGGTCATGCCCGTCATCATTCATGGGGACGCCGCGTTTGCAGGACCGCCGCCCGCTGGACGGAGAGGGGGGCGGGGCGACGGGAACGCGTGAGGGGAAGGAGGACGAGAAGGGCCGGGAGGTCGAAAAGGAAGAAGGATCGGGCGGAGGAACAGGAGGGGATCGTTTGATAGCACCCCTTCAACCGGCGGTATGGGGGACGAGGAAGGGGGAGGGAGGAGGCTAAGAGGGATAAGGAGGAGAGCCCTCCTCCCTTCCCCCTCCTCCTCCTCCTCCTCCTTCTACTCCTCTTCCTCCTCATCCTCGTTCTCTCTCCAAGGGGTATGCCATGACGGCTCTGGATCATGCCTGACGGCACGGAGTGGCGGTTCCCTGAGGAGCAGCATGCGGACATCATGGCGCTCAATGGCCGCAGGCATTGTTTCACGGACTTCGATCAGGCTTTTGCTCGGCTGCTGTGGCAGCACGCTGAGAGGCATTCCTGTGGAGGAGGCCTCGGCGCAGGCGCAGACATGACCTCTTCACGTCAACTGCTGAGGCATCTGGAGCTTTCCAAGAACGAGAAGCGCCTCGCCGAGTTGCTGGTGACGGTCGCGGCCTGTGGGCGTTGGCGTCGTCAGAGGTGGGCCGACGCTGCCACCCGAGTAGCTGTGGATCCTTTCTGCCCTCGGTGCAAGTGCTATCCCGAGTCGGCCTACCACCGCATCTGGGGCTGCGAGGCCAGCTACGGGGAGGTGGCATATGAGAAGTCGGATTTCCTCCTGGGGCAGGCTCGCACGCAGCACGAGTTCGACGAGGCGATGTGGCTGCGCGGGCTGCTTCCAGCGGACCGTGCCCGGGTCCCCCCCTCCGATGCAGGACGGGTGCTGGTGGGACACGGGCGTCTCCGAGGGGGTGCTCTGCGATTGCGTGGGGCCAGGGTCCAGTGAGCCGACTCAGCCTCCCCGTTGTTTTTTTGTCGCGTCGGCGTGGGCTTCGCTCGGTTCGATGGCGCGTGGCTCATGGATCCAACGCGTACTGTCTCTGGCGTCTTGCCAGGCCCACAGCAGTCTGTACCCAGAGGGGAGCTGTTCGTGTTCTTGTGTGCCTCCGATGGGCGTCAGATTGTATCTTACATGTGACGGATAACAAAAGCAGTCTTCGACGGTTGACTCGGACAGCAGGACCGCAGCCCATCAGGAGAGAGCGGTGACCTGTGGGCTGAAATCGGTTTTCTGATGGCCTCTCGGGAGCAAGGGCACGTGCTTCTCCTTTTCGCCCACAGCCACTTGGACGCCACGGTTTTTTTTGGCAGGAAAACGGGAGTCTTGGCTTGTGAGCGGGAACGCGCTCGCCGATGCCCTGGCGAACTGGGGGGCCGAGCAGCATCGACTCCCGTCCAATGTGCGTAGTCCCATCCTTCTCCTTGAGCAACAAGTCTTCTGGATCCGAATGCGCATTCTGAGGCCCACGCTTGACGCGTTCGCCGCCGAGGAAAAAGCTATGAGTGAGCAGGCTCCCGATGGGTCTCACCGCGGGTTTCGGCGGCCTGGGGTTTCGGGCCCCGTGGGCCCTGCGAGAGGCGAGGGCACTGGTGAACCAATTGTCCTCCCTCCCGCTCCCGTGGCTCCTGTCCCTGGCCCTCCTCCTCCTCCTCCTCCTCCTCCTCCTCCTCCTCCTCCTCCTCAGGAACTGAAGCACTGACGGCTGCAAGGCCGTTCAGACGTAGCCACCCTTCCTCCTCCTCCTCCTCCTGCTCCTCCTGCTTCTCCTCCTCCTCCTCCTCCTGCTCCTCCTGCTCCTCCTCCTCCTCCTCCTGCTCCTCCTCCTCCTCCTCCGCCTCCTCCTCCTCCTCCTCCTCCTCCTCCTCCTCCCGCCGCCTTCTGTTGAAGCTGTTTCCATTTTCGAGTTTAGTCACGCCCTGGACGAGTCGGGGCGCCACTGCTGCCGTTGTCGTGGTTCCGCTGCGGCGTCCCGGGTCCGAGCGTGGCGAAAGACCGAATGTTCCCAGTTAGTTGTTGTTGACGGCTCCCCTCGAGGACTACCCGAGAGGGGGCGAGGCTACACATAGCTGGATGGTGGACCCACCCCTCCCACAAAATGCGGTTGCATCAAAACCTAAATATATGGTTATGCGCGTCTTGTGGTATGTAATTATGGGGATAAGCAGTTGCTTGGGCTCGGTAAGTTGTGCCCCAGTGAGGTGTCGGACACCAGAGCTGAATATCTCAGTCAGATCGAGTGGGGGCGTTTCCCCAAGGCCTACAGCAGGGCCGAGCTCGTGAAGAAGACCGGGGCCCACAAGGGGCCTTAGTGGTGGTTTCTATGGACTTCGTCCTGGCACTCCTGACTCCTGACCCCTCCACATCATCATCCTCCTCCTCCCGCCCAGAAGACCCGGGAGGGGAAGGAGGACGAGAGGGAGGGGGGTGGGGAGCGCAAGAATGGGGTTGAGGACGGCACCGCCCACCCAGGCCCCCAGCCTGGATCTCCCCTGACCTGGAGGTGGGTGTCCTTGCTGGGAGTGGGGGGCTTTTTTTTGTGGTCTTCTGGGGGGGCTCAAGCCATCCTCACTTCCAGCCAGGCCCCCTGGATCACCGGATCGGGAGTGGGGGTCTTGGCTGGGGTGGGGGTGGGCTTTGCTGTGCTGTCCTCCATGGCACCCCTTCGGCAGCGAGCGCTGAGCAGATGCACGCAGTTCTCTCGGAGAGGGGCCACGCTAGGGGGCCACAGAGTTTTGCCACGATGGGGGGCGCAGATGGGGGGGCCACGGGGAGGGGCCACTAATGACCACGAATCGGCTCCCCCACTGGGCGCTAGAAGCATTCTCTATAAACCTTCACAGGCAAGCTGCTCAGGGAACAACTCGGGCGACGCCGTTCTTGACCCAGGATCGGTGCATATACCTTCCTGGCCGAGGTAGCGGGCGTATGCACCGATCCTGGGCTCAGGATGGGCCTGGCCAGAGTTGGTGCATATGCATAGTTCTCTTTCTTCTAACAACGCATCCGCATGGACGTAAACTTCCGGAGGCCCGCCCGATGCCCGGGATCGGCACCGAGACCCCCTCTGACCCGACCCCGGCGCCACCCTCGGCGCGCTCTGCGCGCCAGCAGCGCCCATCCGCACAGAGCCTCCAAAGTTTGGGTTTCAGGTCTTTTGTTTCTTCGGTAGGGGCGGGGACGAGGACGACGAGGACGACAACGACGACGACGACGACGACGACGACGACGACCAGGACGAGGACGAGGGCGACCAGGGCGAGAACGAGAACGAAGACGAGGACGAGGACGACGACGACGACGACGACGACGCTCGACAGCGTGGCAGGGATGGCGACGAGGCGGCTCTGGCCATTGGGTGCGGATGCCATCCGCTGCCGGGCTATCCGTTGACCGTGGTGCCTGGGGGCTCCTCGCACGGGTGCGCCTGGCTGGGCATGGGTTTCGTGTTAACTGTTAGCTTCCTTTCTCATCCTCCCCCTCTTCCTCGTCCTCCTCCTTCTCCTCCTCCTCCTCCTCCTCCTCCTCCTCCTCCTCCTCCTCCTCCTCCCTCTCGTCCTTCTCCTGCCCCCCCTCCTTCTTCTCCCCCCCCCTCCTCCTCCTCCTCCTCCTCCTCCTCCTCCTCCTTCTCCTCCTCCTTCTCCTCCTCCTCCTCCTCCTTTTCCTCCCCCCCTCCTCCTCCTCCTCCTCCTCCTCCTCCTCCTCCTCCTCCTCCCGTCCTCCTCCTCCTCTTCCTCCTCCTCGTCTTTCTTAGGCATGCTGTCGGGCCCGTCGAGCCCGTAGCGTCAATCCTCCTCCTCCTCCTCATCAGCATCCGCCTTCTCCTCCTCTTCCCTTCTTCTCTTCCTCCTTTTCCTCCTCCTCCTCCTCCTCCTCCTCCTCCTCTCTCCTGCTCCTCCTCCTCCTGTTCCTCCTGCTCCTCCTCCTCCTCCTCCTCCTCCTCCTCCTCCTCCTCCTCCTCCTCCTCCTCCCTCCCCCATCGCATCATCATCATCATCATCATCATCATCATCATCATCATCATCATCATCGTCATCATCATCATCATCACATCATCATCATCATCATCATCATCATCATCATCATCATCATCATCATCATCATCATCATCATCATCATCATCATTATCAGTATCATTATCATCATCATCATCATCATCATCATCATCATCATCATCATCATCATCATCATCATCATCCGTCTCCTCCTATTCCTCCTTCTCCTCCTCCTCCTCCTCCATTCTTCTCCTTATGTAGAACTCCTCCCTGTCGCACCCCGAGGCCAGTCGAAAGGGCGGGCCGGGCAGTTGGCCTGAGATTGCCTCACCATTTATGACCCTGAAGCCTGAACATCGGCGACAGTTTCATAGATGGCGGCGGGCGGCTGGTTTTCACAACGTGGCTCTCGCCTCAGCGCCGTGCACATTCGTTGTTTGGGGCATGTAAGATTTTTACATCTTGAGGGCGGGTCGTGTTCAACATGTAGCTCGTGACTGGGCGCCGCGCACATTCGTTAAAACATGCAAGAGTTTCATGGGTTGAGGGCGGGTCGTTTTCAAAATTTGGCTCTCGCCCTAGCGCCGCGCCCATTCGTTTCAAACATTTGCAAGAGTTTCACGGATTGAGGGCGGAACGTTTTCACAATGTAGATCTCGCCTTGGCGCCGCGCACATTCGTTTTAACAAAAAGAATGTGTCGGATTGAGAGAGGGTCGTTTTCAACATGTGTTTATTTTCAAGGCGCCGCGCATTCTCGTTTTAACAAGTTGCATGAGTTTAATGGATTTAGGGCGGCTCCTGTTCGAAATGTGGCTCTCGCCTTCGCGCCGCGCACACTCGGTTTGAACATTTGCAAGAGTTTCACTGACTCGCATGGTCCACGTGCCAGAAATTGTTTTGGGGAAAGGCTCCGGATTGTGGGGGCGCAACAGTTACATTGATTCACGGTGTTGGAGTCCCAGACACTTTGTTCTGGCACGATTTTGGATCGATCGCCAGGACGCAGCAGTCAGGTTGAGTCGTGGTATTAGAGTCCCGAGAATGGTGTTCGGGTGCACGTCAGGGTCTTCAACCAGTTGTCCCCCAATGAGGCAGCTCACTCAGCGGAATTGAACCCTTTTAGGGCCATGTGAAGAGGGAGTTTGGAGGGAGGGCTGATTCCAATATCGTTGATGAGCCTTGGCTTTACACTGGTCCTCCTCCTCCTCCTCCTCCTCCTCCTCTTCCCTGTCCACCTCCTCCCCCTCCACCTCCCTCTCCTCCCTTCCCTCATCCTCACAGCGTGCTTGTCACCCTCCTCCTCATCATCATCCTGTTCCTCCTCCTCCTCTTCCTCCTCCTTCTCCTCCATGTCTTTTCCTGATACATAACTCCTCCCTGTCGCCCTCCTCCTCCTCCTCCTTTTCATTATTATCCTCCTCCCTCTCCTACTCCTACTCCTACTCGTACTCGTACTCGTACTCCTCCTCCTTCTCCTCCTCCTCCTCCTCCTCCTCCTCCTCCTCTTCCTCCTCCTCCCTCCTCTTCCTCCTTCTCCTGCTACTCCTCCTCCTCCTCCTTTTCCTTTTCCTCCTTCCCCTCCTCCTCGTCCTCCTCCTCCTGCTCTTCCTCCTCGTCTTTTTCTTAGGCATGCTGCCGGGCCCGTCGAGCCCGTAGCGTCAATCCTCCTCTTCCTCCTCCTCCTTCTCCTCCCTCCTCCCTTCTTCCTCCTCCCTCCTCCCTTCTTCCTCCTCCCTCCCCCCCATCCTCCTCCTCCTCCTATTCATCCTCCTCTTCCTCCCCGTCCTCATTCCTGCACTCCGCCTTCCGTTCTTCACGTTCTTCCCATTCCTTGATCTGCTCTTTCTGTGGAGACACCCGTTTTTTTCAGGACAAGGTGTTGTGTACGAGGCCATGCAGCTCTCTGGCGTTGTTGATTTCAACGTCGGTGGCACCATCCACGTCATCATCAACAATCAGGTTGGCTTCACAACAGCCCCCGAGAACGCAAGATCCACCTTGTACTGCTCGGACCTCGGCAAGGCCTTCCGGCTGCCCATCTTCCACGTCAACGGGGACGATCCAATGGCGGTGGTGCGCGCTTTCGAGCTCGCCGCCGAGTGGCGTCAGGACTGGGGGGAGGATTGTATCGTTGACGTTGTCTGCTACAGGCGGTTCGGCCATAACGAGAGCGACAACCCAGAGTTCACCCAGCCATTGCTGTATCGGGAGATCAAGCGGCACAAGAGGACAGAGGAGATCATGGCCCAGAGGCTCGTCGAAGATGGTCACGCGACAGCGGACCTGCTCGACGCGATCAAGGCAGGGGTCTGGAGCCAGTACGAGAAAGATTTCGAGGCGGCGCGGACGTACAAGCAGAGACCGACATCGCATTGGGTGCCGACCAAGTGGCAGGGCATGCGATCCCCCAACGAGGTCTCCCAGAGAATGCCCACGGGTGTGGACGCGCGCCTGCTGAGGGAGATCGGGCTGCGATTGTGCGACGTGCCCGCCGGCTTCGAGCTCCACGGCAGCCTCACGCGGATCCTGAAGGTCGGACCGGACGAAACGGCATGGTAGGGAAGAGGACGGCTACGAAATCTGCTGCATGCAGCTGGTTTCCGCCCTGCCGCCGGGCCTACGCCTCGAAATACGGGCGCCTCCCGGCGCCAGGAGGCGCCAGGCTAATCAGCTACGTAAGTTGATTGTCTACCCTGCCCTTTGCTGTCCTACCCTCTTGGCCCCCCCCCGAGAAGGCCAAGCGCCAGCGCATCGAGGACGGCCGCGGCCTGGACTGGGCCACGGCGGAGAGTCTCGCCGTCGGCTCGCTGCTACTCGAGGGCTGCCACGTGCGGCTGACGGGCCAAGACGTGCAGAGGTCGGCGGCCAGCCCTGGGGATGTGTGGAAGTTTCTGGAGTTTCGGGTTCGAAGTTCGAGGACTTCGGGCGTCGTCGTCGGTTCTCGGCGGCTGTCCAGCCTCGGGATGCGCTCCAGCGGCTGCGCCTCGCCGAGGGCGTTCCCGGCTGTGCCCAAATCGTTTCGAACGGCCACCGGAGGATACCGGAGGGCCAAGTTGTGACAGAGAAACCACCAGGCGTCCGAGACGAGGCGGGCCTTCTCAGAATGCTCGGAAGCCCCCCGGGCCTTCCGAGGAAGTTTTCTACGCCTTCCCAGGAGACGCAGACAGCTTCTCAGAAGGCCGGAGGGTTTCTGAAAAGTCCCGCCGCCTTCTGAGAGGGCCTTCTCCTGCTTGCTTCCCCCCCTCGCTCGCCGCCGAAGAGGGGCACCTTCTCGCATCGCCACTGCGTCGTCCACGACCAGGTCAACGGCGCGGAGCTCAGCTGCCCTCATACGCACGTCTCTACACGCAGCACGTGCCGTGCTCAGCGCGTCCGTGTCAACACGGTGCGTGTTGGCTCGGCACGTGTTGGCCCGCGTTTTGGCGAACGTATCGCGCCAGACTTACGTGTTCAGTCCACGTGTCGAGCTTCGTGCCAACACGCTACAGGTTGGGTGTTGCGTATCGGGGCGGCGAAGGCGCGGAGTACACCTTTCTCAACGAGCTCCACCTCGGCCCGCAGGAGACATTCGTGGCCCGCAACTCCATCCTCTCCGAACTGGCCGTGCTGGGCTTCGAGCTCGGCTACAGCTACGAGAGCCCGAACGCGCTGTCGATCTGGGAGGCGCAGTTCGGGGACTTCGCCAACAATGCCCAGGTCATGATCGACGGCGGCGACGACGATGACAGGACATGACGATGATTAACTTCTGGGGTCGACGACGACGCCGATGACTGGCTGGCGAGGGCGACGACGACTGACGACGACGACGACGACGACGGCCACGAAAAACAACGGCATAACCATTTTTGGAGATCCGCGCGGATTTTTCGGATCAACGCTGGACAGCCTTAAGTTGGGCCTCTCCCTCTACAGGAGGAATATTCTAACATAGTACAAAATAGCCTGGGGACCATTCTTTGAGTATTGTTTGAATAGTTTTGAATATGTTTAGGGTATCAAATTTTGTTCATCCAAACTCCCCGTGTAAGGGAACACGCCCGACCTAGGGACAGCCCTCCCTCTCCCTGGCGCGCGGGGCGCGCCATCGGTGGCGCCAGAGGCACTGCCACAGGGGGTCACGCGCAGGTCCGCGCGGACCTCCAAAAGTCAGGAGGGAAAGAACACATACACAAGTAATCGTCGATTCCGCAGTAAATATTGGGAAATATGGGAAGTCGGGGGGAAGACGTAGACCCAGAAAGTATGGTGAAACCTGGGATTTGTGTCTATTTGTTTGTGTGTCCCTGGGCCCCTTTCGTTTCTTTCTCTGAGGTCATGATGCCCTCCGACGGGGCACTGCCAGCAGCGCCAAGCAATTATGGTAGGGACCTGCGAAGAGGGACCTCGGAGGGAGGGTTTACTGCAACACCGCTGATGCGCCTGGTCCTCGTCCGCCTCCTCATGCTCCCCTTCCTCCTCCACCCCTGAGGTCATGATCGACCAGTTCGTGTGCTCGGGCGAGCACAAGTGGCTGCAGCAGTCGGCCCTGACGATGCTGCTGCCGCACGGCTACGACGGGCAGGGTGCCGAGCACTCGTCCTGCCGCCTGGAGCGGTTCCTGCAGCTCTGCGACGACGACGAGGACGACGTGCCTCTTTTCACGCAGGACGAAGAAGAAGAAGCAAGGGCATAAGCAGATGGTCGACCCGCATGATAAGGATGGGCAACCTTCCCAAGGGTACCCCTGCATCCTTGCCCCTTCGGCCCATCCTTGGCCACTTTCGTTGGCCGCGCCCCGCTCGAGAAGCTTCGAAATGGCCATACAAGGCCCTTGCATCCTTGCCGTGCATCCTTGTGATATGGGTCGACTGTACAGCCGTTGGCGGGAAAACGCACACCAGGCATAGTGCACAACGCTGCTGTGTTCAGAACCCCCGTGCCCCCCAATTTCAGTATTGAAAATGGCGCTGCCTTGGCGGTGGAACTTTGGGCGTTTGCGCTCCGACAGCGGCCGCTCACGCGACGTTGAAATGGGGTGTCCAGGGGGCGGCACCGTCGAAGCAACGTCTGCGGATGGGCGTTCTTTGCGCCAACAGCGGTGCGCTTTCGAAGCTCCGCGGAGAGCTCCGAGAGTCCATGTGTATGCAGGCGTTGTTGTCCCCGAGGATGGCAACCTAAAGGCAATCCAGAAGGCAAACTGGCAGGTCATGAACCTGACGACGCCTGCGAACTACTTCCACGCCCTGCGCCAGCAGCTGAAACGGGACTTCCGGAAGCCGCTCGTGCTCGCCGCGCCCAAGGCGCTGCTGAGACACAAGGCGTGCACCAGCAGCCTGGAGGACATGGGCTACGGGTCCAGCTTCCAGCGCCTGCTGGGCGAGAGGGACCCCGCCATCAAGAACAGCCCGGAGAGGGTTGACCGCCTCATCTTCTGCTCGGGCAAAATCTACTTCGAGCTGCTCGCGGCGCGGACGAGGCTGGGCCTGACCAATGTGGCGCTGGTCACCGTGGAGCTCATCGCCCCGTTCCCATTCGACAAGGTCCGGGACCAGATGAAGCTGTACAGCAACGTTCAGCGGGGCGACGGGGTGTACCCTGGCAACATCATCTGGTGCCAGGAGTCGGGGGGTGCCGGCAGACCACCCAACGCCGACTCCAGCCAGGCCCACCCTTTGCCCTGGGATCCCGCATACCCCCCCCCACCCCCAGCTCTGACTCTGTTGCCCGGAGGGCGCACGCGCCGATCCAGGGCCCACAATGGGCCCGGCCAGGGGCGGTTCCAGTTTTGGTTGCCCGGATGCGCCCGTGCTGCAGCGCAGCGTGCTCCGTGTTCAAGAGACGCACGGGTGGAACACGCTGCGCGGATTGCTCGGCACGTGTGGGCCGGTGCCCCCGGTGAGCGCATCGCGACAGGCCTGCACGGTTGCAATCTGCGCGTCAAGCTCCGTGCCAGCACGCTCCGGGCTGCCCGTTGCGCATCGGGGCAGCCGAGGTGCCAGTACAGTGGAGACCCATACCAAGAAACAGCCTGCCCGTCTCCATGGTGCCCTGGGTTTCGTGGTTTGCGGTGTTCGGCGGCGAAGGAGGGGGGAATTGAGAAGGAGAAGGCCTTCTCAGAAGGCTCGGAAGTCCCCTGGACTTCTGAGATGTTCTCTAAGCCTTCCCCGAAGGCACAGACTCAAAACAGGAAAAAACACATAAACACAAAGGGTGTTATTGGTTTTACGCCGGAAGGAGGCGTCGTTGAGAGGGCGCCTGGCACGGATGCGGGGATCGGTGTGGCGTCGGTCTTTGGAGCTGGCGGTTTGCGTGGCAAGTGCGTTTAGTTGGTCGCATGTGTTCGGAACGCGTGACGGGTGGAAAGGCCGCTCACCAGCAACTGGCAGTCCTCTGCCCGCGGGCCAGAACAAATCGTCGCGCGCTCGCAACGGTGTGTGGGAAAGGGGTTGGGAAGATAGCGCGATTCCCATTCCCAAGAAGTCCCTTCGATAGGCAGCAAACAATTATTTTTCTTTTCATCTGCCGCACGGCCAACCGAACGAACGAACAACTGTCTCGGCGCGCAGTGTTAGCTTCGTTTGCGCGCATCTTGGCTTCCTTCCGTTAATTCCTTCGCTTCTTTCTCGCCCTCCTCTTCTTTTTCCTCTTCCTCTGCTTTGCCTTGTCCTGCCTTCATTTCCTTTCCAGCTCGGAGCTGTCACCGCGCGCGAAGAGCGCAACCCAAAGGGCGTTGCTGTAATTCCTCTGTGTGCCACGAAGTCTCGTGTAATTCCTTTGTGTGCGGTCTGGTTGCACTACCAACCGGGGGGGCACACAAAAGAATTTCCTTTGTGTACGATCGTTTTCGCCGCCCCCACAAGAGCACGCGCGATTCCTCTGTGTAGAGCTTGCTTTCCCGCCTCGAGGAGCGCACGGGGCCTAGCGCCACAATCGCAAGGCCGCGGCGCCTGGCAGTGCGATGCAGCTGCACCGGATACCACGCCCAAAACGATCCTGCGTGGATTTCGGCTCCTCTGCCGAAGTCGCGCTGGCAGCTGGCCAGCCACATCGCCTGCCCTGCATGCCCGCGCGCGCTACTGCGCTCTGCTGCCGCGACGCGTGCTGTTGTCAACAGATGAACAAACTGACGTTGCACGGTGGTTTGGTTGTGCCAAACCACCATGGAATGTTTGATGGTAGCGGATATTGGGTCTTGTCGCCGCCGACAGCTTTGCCACACCATACATGTCAACTGCATCTTAGACCGCGGCCACGCATCAACCCTGGTTCGGATCGCTGGGGGTCCTGTCGCATGTGTGCACATGCGCTGTACCGTTCGTGGTGCCAAAACCCTTGGCGTGAAATTCCTTTGTGTGTTTTTCCCCACATGCTTCGTGCGGTTATGGTTTTCTTCCCTGCCGCGTCGCACCCGCGTCTCACCTCACACCTCATCTCCTCCTCAGAGCACTGCTCAGCACAGCTCAGCTCAGCTCAGCTCAGCACGGCGCAGCTTAGCACAGCTCAGCTCAGCTCAGCTGAGCACAGCACAGCACAGCGCAGCACCCCACATTCTTAATTCCCCACATGCTTCGTGGGGTTCTGGCACTATGCGTAGGGGGCGCGCAGGGGGTGCGGTCTCTATGCGTTGCAGGCGCGCAGGGCACGGCAGGCGTGGCACTTTCTTTACACCAGTGGGGGTGCACATGGGGTGCGGTCTCTATGCGTTGCAGGCGCGCAGGGCACGGCAGGCGCGGTATTTTCTCGACACCAGGAGGGTGCGCAGGGGGTGCGGTCTCTATGGGCTGCAGGCGCGCAGGGCGCGGCAGGCGTGGGAATTTTCGACACCAGAGGGGGCGCACAGGGGGTGCGGTCTCTATGCGCTGCAGGCGCGCAGGGCACGGCAGGCGCGGCACTTTCTCGACACCACGAGGCAGGGGGTGCGGTCTCTATGCGTTGCAGGCGCGCAAGGCGCGACAGGCGTGGGAATTCTCGACACCAGAAGGGAGTGCACAGGGGGGGCGGTTTCTATGCGTTGCAGGCGCGCAGGGCACGGCAGGCGCGGCATTTTCTCCACACCAGGAAGGTCCGCAGGGGGTGCGGTCCCTATGCGTTGCAGGCGCGCAGGGCACGGCAGGCGTTGGAATTCTCGACACCAGAGGGGGTGCACAAGGGGTGCGGTCTCTATGCGTTGCAGGCGCGCAGGGCACGGCAGGCGCGGCACTTTCGCGACAACAGAAAGGTGCGCAGGGGGTGCGGTCTCTATGCGTTGCAGGCGCGCCGGGCACGGCAGGCGTGGCACTTTCTCGACACCAGTGGGGGTGCACATGGGGTGCGGTCTCTATGCGATGCAGGCGCGCAGGGCACGGCAGGCGCGGCATTTTCTCGACACCAGGAGGGTGCGCACGGGGTGCGGTCTCTATGCGTTGCAGGCGCGCACGGCGCGGCAGGCGTGGGAATTTTCGACACCAGAGGGGGTGCACAGAGGGTGCGGTCTCTAGGCGTTGCAGGCGCGCAGGGCACGGCAAGCGCGGCATTTTCTCGACACCAGGAGGGTCCGCAAGGGGTGCGGTCTCTATGCGCTGCAGGCGCGCAGGGCACGGCAGGCGTTGGAATTCTCGACACCAGAGGGGGTGCGCAGGGGGTGCGGTCTCTATGCCTGCAGGCGCGCAGGGCACGGCAGGCGCGGCACTTTCGCGACAACAGAAAGGTGCGCAGGGGGTGCGGTCTCTATGCGTTGCAGGCGCGCAGGGCACGGCAGGCGTGACACTTTCTCGACACCAGTGGGGGTGCACATGGGGTGCGGTCTCTATGCGTTGCAGGCGCGCAGGGCACGGCAGGCGCGGCACTTTCTCGACACCAGGAGGGTGCGCAGGGTGTGCGGTCTTTATGCGCTGCAGGCGCGCAGGGCGCGGCAGGCGTGGGAATTCTCGACACCAGAGGGGGCGCACAGGGTGTGCGGTCTCTATGCGTTGCAGGCGCGCAGGGCACGGCCACCAACATCTTTCTCACATGCTTCACTTCAGCTATCATCACTCCAACCATAATAAAAATATGTGGGGTCCCTCGGTAGCGTACTTTGTTGCTGGCCCTTACAGACAACTTCCCAGAAGGCGCGAGGGCTTCTGAGAAGTCCCGCCGCCAATGGTTTTGCGATGGGAAGCGCGACGTTCCCACACCAAAAATAGATGGACGCCCTGGGGTCTCAGGGTTGGGTTTCTTTTCGGAGAACGAGGAGGAGGAGGAGGAGGAGGAGGAGGAGGAGGAGGAGCGAGGAGCGAGGAGCGAGGACGAGCGAGGAGGAGCGAGGAGGAGCGAGGAGGAGGAGGAAAAGGAGGAGGAGGAGGAGGAGGAGGACAAGGTTTCTTGTGGGTTGGCCTCCACTGTGTGCGTCCACCGCACTCCCGAGGAGGAGCCGAAGAACATGGGGGCCTGGGCGTACGTGCGGCCCCGCATGGTGTTCAGGAGGGGGAAAACACACACAGACACAATTCATCGTCGATCCCCCTCCTCCTGTATCCCCCACTCTCCTCCATGATCCGCCTCCTCCTCTTCCTCCACCCACTCCTCCTCAATACTGCATCCTCCTCCTCAGTGTCCTCCTCCTCCTCCTCCTTCTCCTCCTCCGCCCCCTTCTCCGCCTCGGACCTAGGAAGATGGGGGAACACATGGGACGTGGTGTGGAATATTGAAGTCGAGAAACTAGCTTAGAACATGTGTGTGCATATATATATATATATATATATATATATATATATATAAATATGTATATACCTATATGTATATATAAATATGTATATATATGTATATGTATATATATAAATATACATATGTATATATATATATATATATCCATGGGGGGGCAGGCCTGGGGCCACAAGCAGCTGCCCCGACCCCCCATGGGAAGGCGGGGCGGCTGGGGAGGTCCAAAATAGTCCAGGAGCGCCTCCAGAGACTCCCCAGACGGCCCAAGCGGGCCCCGAGTCGCCAAGATAGGCCCAAGACCGCCCGAGAAACCCCCCCAAGGCACTCCGCGACGCTTCAAGACGCCTCTTACGAGCGCTCCAAGAGACCAACATCGTAAGTTTTATTTAGGTTTTGGAGAGATTTTGGCCTTCCAGCCTTCTCGGCTGTCTGACGTTCCAGGCCGGCTCCATAGGCCCCCAGGAGCGCCCCAAGACGGCCCAAGAGGGCCCCCAGACGGCACCAGAGGCGCCCCAGAGAGCCCCAAGACGGCCCCAAGATGCGCCCAAGAGGGGGACCACGACTCCAAAATTCGACCCTCCCGCTTGAAGAGTGCCCCAGGAGGCCCCAAGGAGCCCCCCAGAGGCCCCAGGAGGCCCCCGAGAGGCACCCAGGAGACCCAAACATTGCCTCAAGAGGCCACAAAACAGCCTCGAGGAGGTCCCACAACGGTCTCAAAATGGCTACCGAGATGCTGCGAAACTACCTTCACGATGTCCCCGACAGGCCAACCACGAGATCCAAACCAACACCCATGAGGCCTCTGACCTGCCACCTAGGGCACCCGCCGCCCGCCCGCCGTCCGCGTAGCACGCACCACTCTGTACTCAACAGCTTCAGTCTCCAAGACAACACCCTGTAGTCAACAGCCCCCGTCTTCAAGGCAACACCCTGTACTCGACAAGCTCCCGCTACAAGAGAGCACCCTTGAGGAATTCATTCAAATCCCGACCCGCCCGCCCGCCCGCTACCCTCCCGCCCGCCGCCCGCCCGCCCGCTCGCTCGCCTTCCGCGTAGCAAGCGCCACCCTGCACTCAACAGCCTCCGCCTCCAAGACAACATCTAGCATTCGACAGCCCCCAGGGCTCCCGGGACTGCCCGGGCCCGCTCCCAAACACGCCACGACATGCCAAGAGGGCCCGAAAGATTGCCAAGACAGCCCCAAGAGGCCCCGGACACGCCGAAGATGGCTTCAGGACGGCCGACGACGCCGCCAAAACGCCCCAAGAGCGCCTCCAGAGGCTCCTCCAAAGGGCCCCGCATTTTTGCGCTCTCGCATGTTCCGCCTCCCCACGGCCCGGACGGCGTCAGAGGCCCTTCAGATCGCTCCAAGACGGCCGAAGAGACTCCCAAGGAAAGACCAGAGACGGCCCAGGAGGCCCTCCAGATAATTCAAGAGGGCCTCGGGAGCGCCCCAAGAGTGCCCCAAGAGCGACCCAAGAGGGCCCGAAGAGCGCGACATTTCAAGGTCTCCAGCCTGAGAGGCTCCTAGGACGCCTCCGGAGGCCATCAAGAGGCTCCCAAGAAGCCCCGTGAGGCTCCCAAGAGGCCCCCTGGAAGCCCCAATAAGCCCCAAACGGCCCCCCAGGGAAGCACCCTGCGGGCCCCCAAGAGAACTCGGTAAATCGTATTTCCCAGAGCTTTCCGGGAACATGATTCCTTAGCTTCCGCCCACCGCCCCAACCATGTTTCCAATAGGCTTGCCGACAAGGCCAAAAAGGGCCCTTCGGTAAGCCCCCAGAGCCCCGCCTCTTAAGAGAGCCGAACAAATCATGCTCCCGGAAAGCTTCCCGTGAACATGATTCTCGGGTTGCCGCCCGCCAGGATAAAGAAAAACGAGAGTCCTAAGCAGCGCTACCTGCCGCCACGCTCGGAAGCGCGTCAGGCCCCGAAGCCTCCGGAGGCGCCAACGACACCCCAACAAATCATGTTCCCAGGAAGTCTGACAGCCAGTGCCGCCGACGTTGAAGGAGGACGGTCCAGGACACCCAGAAATCTTCCAAACAGGCTTCCAAGAGGGCGCCGAGACAGCCCAGGGCCGCCCCCAGACGGCCCAAGAAAGCCCCAACACTGACGAAAAGGGCCGCAAGAGGCCCCCAAGAGGCCCCGATCGTTCGAACACGCCCAAGATGGCCTCAGGACGGCCCACAAGGCTTCCAACACGGCCCAAAGGGACGCCAAAATCATTGATTGTCCTTAGGTTTTTGATGGATTTCAGACACCCAATGTCGCCCCAACAGGCCCCCGCGAGGGCGCCGAGACGGCCCAGGGAGGCCCTGCCGCGGGCACGAGGCGGGGCCCAGGACGGGGCCCTCGCACCGGGGGGCCCGGGGGCCCTGCCGTGGCGCTGGGGGCCTTGTAAACTCCTGGTCCTCCGAAGACGGCCCTGGCGTTTCCAGACAACGAAAACGACCAATGACCGCCCGAGATCACCCCAGAAGTGGTCCCTGACTGTCCAAGAGGCCTCCAAGACGCCCCAAGAGGTCTCCAAGATGGCCCCCAAGGAGTCCCAGGAGGCACAACTAATTTGTTTTCCTCTCTGGTTTTTGATAGATTTTCGAGTTCTCGCCTTTTGAGTTTCCGGACGCTCCACACCGACCCAAGAGGCTTTAATTTCCGCTCCAAGGCATCCCCAGAGGCCTCGAAGACGGTCACAAGAGCCCATGGGGTCCCAAGACGGCGCCAGAGGCGCCCAAGGCGGCCCGAGAGGGCCCCAAGACGGCCCCAAGATGGAGCCAAGAGGATTGACACGAACCGAAAATCCGAGTCTTCCACCCCGAGAGGCTCTCAGGAGGCCCCGAGAAGCCCTTAACAGGCTCCAAGAGGCCCCAAGAAGCCCCCCAGGGGGCCGAAGAGTATCCAAGAGCCCCCCCACGAAGGCCCCAAGAGGCAAACATCCATGTCTTGCCATAGGTGTTTGATTGATGTTAGAGTTTTCAGCCTTTTGGCGTCCTGCCGCTCCAAGACGGCCCAAAAGGCCGCCAAGACCACTCCAAGATAGCCCAAGAGGCCTCCAACAGGGCCCAAGACAGCCCGAGAGGGCACCAATACGGCCCCAAGTAAAAGGCATAAAAACGCCCCTACCCTGGTTTACGAGGCGCTGTGTGCTGAAACTCCTGTGGGCTGACAGGGTAAACCCTGCGTGATGTGCCGCGTCCTGACGGCTCTGGGCTTTGGGGGTTCCCAGGAGGTTTACAGACCACGCACTTGTAGCCCAGGGTAGGGCCTTTTTTTCATCCCTCAACCAAGGGGGGCCCAAGAGGGGTAAGACGAACCGAAATTCCGAGCCTTCCACCCCGAGAGGCTCTCAGGAAGCCCCAGAGGCCCCCAAATGGGACCCAAGAGGCCATCAAGAAGCTCCCCAGAGGGCCGAAGAGGTTCCCAGAAGCATTGTTTTCCCATCGGCTTTTGATGGATTTTAGAGTTCCCAGCCTTTTGGCATCCCGACGCTCCAAGACGGCCCAAGTGGCCCCCACGGCCGCTCCAAGATAGCCGAAGAGGCCTCCAAGAGGGCCCCAAGACGGCCCACGAGGGTCCCAAGACGGTGCCCGAGGCGCCCAAGACGGCCCGAGAGGGCCCCAAGAGGGCCCCAAGAGAGCCCCAAGAAGGGGAACGCGAACCCAACAACAGAGCTTTCAGCCCTAAGAGGCCCACAGGAGGCCCCAAGAGTCCCCAAGTGGTCCGACGAGGCCCCCCAAAGCCCCCCACCAGGCCCCCAAAGGCTCACAGGAGACGTACACGGGGCCCCAAGATAGCCGAACAGTGCTCTCGATGCATCAAAATTGCTTCAAGGAGGCCCGGGGAGGCTTCCGGATTGCCCCAATGTGGCCTCAAGCCGGGCCTCCACGCAGCCAAGACGGCCAATTGACTGCTTCAGACTGCAGAACATCATTTTCCGACTGCCCAGAGAACCCTGACGATGCCCCCAAGGGACCCCAAGAAGCCCCAAGATGCCCCCCCGAGAGGCACCCAAGAGGTGCCTCCAACAGCCAAATTGAGGAAGCACGGAGAACCCCCCAGAAGCCCTTCAGATGTCCCCACGAAGACCCAAGAGGTTCCCAAGAGGCCCTCAGGAGGCACGACTATGTCACGCGCCTGTCCAAGATCTTCCACCGCGCCCCCAGCCTGGGCTAGAACCTGAGCGCGCGCGAAGCGCGCGCGATGGTTCTAGGATATGTGTATATACATATATATATATATGTATACACATATTTGTGTACACATGTATATATATATATATATACATACATATATACATATATATATATATATATATATATGCATATCTTCGTCGCGATCTCGCGGCTGGGGCCCGACTCGGCGGCCGCGCAGGAGAGCTGCGGTGCTCGTTTTGAGATCGGAGTTGAGTGTTTCACTCGGGGTCTGTATTGCGAATAACTGCCCGAATTTCCGCCCCTAGTTTCGGCCACGTTCGCAGGACAGGCGTTCTGTTGATGACAGCGGTTTCTTTGTCTTTGCTCTTGTGTGTTTCCTATTTCTCTGCGCTTGCGCTGCAGTGGTCATGTGGGCGCCCAGACTGACAGGCAGTCGGGCGATGACCGCCGAGTCCAATCAGTCTGCACTTTTGCCCCACAAGCCGGAACAACATAAGATTGACATCCTCATTTTTGGGTGTACCGGCCTATCTGCGGTTTTAGGGGTGTAGTTTGTTGGACGTCGCGTTCTCTCCTCACGGCCTGCGGGCTGATCTCATCCCTTGCTCTCTTGCGTTTGAAAAAAAAAAAACTATATGTGTGTGTGTGTGGGGGGGAATCCTGGGATCTGTGTCTGTTTGTTTCTGTGCCCCAGGGCCCCTTCAGGTGTGCGTCGCGCGCGAAGCGCTGGGCGCCGCCCTCGTGCTCCGCTTCGTGGGCCGGCGCGCCGCCGCGGCGCCGGCCACGGGGCTCGGGAAGCTGCACGCCATGGAGCAGCAGGCCCGGGCCGGCCTGCGCCCGCGCGGCGTGGCGTCGGGGCTCAAGAGGCGGGGGTCCATCCCAGGCCGCCAACGCATTGACAAACATCAAGGCGGAGGTTTTTCTCGATCTTCGGCCTCCAGCGGCCCTCGCCGGGCCCTGGGACCGTCAAAACACGACTCAGGGTGAAAAATCGGTCCTGGGGAATGGGTCGAGACTTCCGGGGACCCCGCATTGAAAAAATCATGACATCGGATCTCTGGGATGCAGACGGGGGTCAGCCAGAGCGCTGGATCCTGCAGGATGCTGCAGGGCCAGGGCCGCATTGACCCGGGTCTGTGTGCAGGATCCTGCAGGAACCTTCTCGCATTGACCCAAGGTTGGAGTGCAGGATCTTGCAGGATCCTGCAAGGCCTGACTGACCTGGGTCTGGATTGACCCAGGTCAGAAGATCCCCGATGGCGGTGGGTCGGGGGCGGCAAAGACCGGCGGCGAGCGAGGGGGGGAAGTGAGAATCGGGCAGTGGCGAAGCGTCCAGGCTTGCCTATCTAGGTCACCAAATAATGTTCTGAGAACCTCTTTGGTGGCCTGCCCGAAAGGTTCTTAGAACATGTCTGGCTACTGTCTTGCTTGTAACACGTCGGGCTTACGTTCTAAGATCATCGTTATTGTTCTTAGAATAGTTCTGGATTCTAAGAACATGTCTTAGTAGGCCTATAGGAATGCCGGGGCGGTCGGTCGCTGCTCAAGCGAAGGGGAAGGCCTTCTCAGAAGGTTCGAAAGTCCCCCGGCCTTCTGGGAAGTTGTCTAAGCCTTCTCCGAAGGCGCAGGAAACTTCTCAGAAGGCGCGAGTTGTTCTGAGAAGTCCCGCCGCCTTTGAGAAGGCCTTCTCGTTCTCATTTCCCCCCCTCGCTCGCCGCCAACAAGGGGGTTGATGACTAGGGGGGCACATCATGGCGGGGACCATGATCTCTCCCCAGATCTCATGGCGCTTCTTCTATGATTTGCGCCCCCCTCTCGGACGCCCCCGTCTCGAACGCCCCCGAATGGGAGGGGCGGGCATCTCGGGTCAGCGGACAGGCGGTGGGGTTCAGCGCAGACGTCGTCGTGGTCGCCGTCGCCGTCGCCGTCGCCGTCGTCGTCGTCCAGAGCGCCGGAGCCTGCAGGATCCTGCAGAGCCAGGTTTGGGTTAAGTCGGGCAGGTCCCTCTTCAGGAGGAAGCTTCAAAAATAGTCAAAAGAGATAGCTTGGGGACGATGTTCCGACTGTTGCTGGCCAGTTTGGAGCCTTGGCTCGTCGTTCTAGAAAAAGATCTGTCGCCCCGAACCCCCCCGTACGAGGACATGCCCGACCCAAGACTGGGGCCGAGCCGGGTTGCGGGGGGGGGGCGCTCGCGGCCCAGGAGGAGGCGGTTTTGTCCAAGTTGGCCGAGCCGGGTTTTTGTTGTGCAGGCCGCTTCAAGAGTTACTTCGGGCATGCCCCTCTGCATGAGGAACAGTATGTCAAAAGTCGTATGGGACTACTTTTAAAACCGTTTTGGGATATGTGCTGTTGCATATGTGTTTGACTATCTTAAATCTGTCTTCTAAAATCCGCCTGTAGGGGGACATGCCCAACCTAATGCAAGAGCTGCAGCGCAGCTGTTCTCTGGATCGGCTGAGCCGGGCTTGCGCTGAGCCAGCGTTCGGAGAAGAGTAAATCGCACAAGCAACAACTTGTGGCGCTTCTGCGGATTTCTTGAGTTCGCGCTGGGACCCCCCTGGCCTCGCCTCCGGCGCTGCCCCTGGCGCGCCAGCGGAGGGGGTCCAGCTCAGATCCAAAGAGAAGTCCGCGCGGACCTCCAAATGTTAATATCTGTGCTGTTGTTGTTCGTCCTCTAAGTTAGTCCACGCAAGACTGGGCCTCTCTCCAGGCCTCCCGGATGGGGCCCGAGCAGGCAGGGTCGGAGGATCACGCCGACTCGCCGATGCCTCGGCGCTGCGGCTCGACGTGGAGCCCGATTTTCTGCCCCCGCCGACAGCGCCGACTGCATCGCCCGAGGCATCGCCGATGCATGGGCGATGCCTCGGCGGTACGGCGCGACCCGCCGACCCCAGCTGCTCTTACCCCCCTCGCGCGGCCTCCAACCTTGGGCAGCCCTCGGGGCCGCCGCGGGGCCGCCGCGGGGCCTCTGCGCGCCCGGGGCCTCGGACCCGGGGCGCTCTCGGGGCGCTCTCGGGGCGCTCTCGGGGCGCTCTCGGGGCGCTCTCGGGGCGCTCTCGGGGCGCTCTCGGGGCGCTCTCGGGGCGCTCTTGGGGCGCTCTCGGGGTGCTCTTGGGGTGCTCTTGGGGCGCTCTTGGGGCGCTCTTGGGGCGCTCTTGGGGCGCTCTTGGGGCGCTCTTGGGGCGCTCTTGGGGTGCTCCGGAACGGCCGCGGCGCCCGACGCAGGTGCCCTCCGAACTCGCCCGCTCCGGGAGGCGTTGGGCTTGCCCGTGTGCGGGTGCCCCGTGTTGGTCGCACCCTGCCTCCGTCCGACTCGTCGTCCTGCCAGCGGTCGCCGGGGTGTCGCGGCGGTGGCCTCTCCGGTCGCTCGTGGGCAGAAGGTTCTGCCGGGGGCACGCGTCGCCGCGAGGGCTCCGGGTGGCAGTGCGAGGGGGAGGTCTCCGTTCTTCGCCATCCTCCGCGTCTTCCCCCGCACCCCTCGCATCCCCCTCCAGCTTCGCCCCTCTTCCTCCCCCGCCCTCCTGATCCTCTCCCTACCCCTCCTTCTGCCGCTCATCCTCCTCACCTATCCTCGTCGTCCTTTGCTTTCCTCCTGCCGATTAGTCTTATCGTCTCCTCCTCCTCCTCCTCCTCCTCCTCCTCCTCCTCCCTCCCTCCCTCCCTCCCTCCCTCCCTCCCTCTCCTTGTCTCCTCCTGCCTCTTCCTTCTATCCTCCTCCTCTTTTTTTGGCCGCAGCGGCCCCTCGTTTTGATAGTGTACTGCAGTGGCCGAGAGGTAGCACCACAACAGCGAAATGAGACCGCACAGTGGAGCCACAGCACGATTCGATCGTGGGGCTACACACTGTAGGCCACAGCAACGGGATGAAGTCGTCAATATCCACAGAGACCCCCCTTCTTGTCTGGGCGTCTTCCCTCGCGGAGACTGCGCATATTTCTAATACCTGTGATGGTCGGCTGACCGCAAGGCCTGCCTAGCCCCAGCACTTGGCCGCCAGAGCTCTAACATTTGCAGGACAACCACAAGAAAAGGTGTGACTTGTCGCTGCGCTGGAACGCAATCACGCGGTGGCCGAGACGCATCAGGGGGCCCTGATCTAGCCGACTGCGGCCCGAACATTCGGTCCCAGTCGGCAAGGACTCGCTCCTAGAGCCCCTCAGGCACACCCTACATCTCCAAACCGAACCCATGCGTTCCCACTCGTGAGCCAGGACCAAAACATCCTTGGCGGGCGGCGGTGGGGCACGGGAGCGCTCTAGGCCACGAAATTCAACTTTAGGCCAACATGGCAAGAGCTGAGCGCCCGACAGCCGGACATGTCGAGCAATGGTTAGAGTCCGCTTCAACTCCTCCTCCTCGGAGGGATCTAACACTGGATGAAGGCGAATCGCCTCCTTGGCTGCTAGATCGGCGAAGAAGTTACCCGTTCGAAGAACCGCTCTTCGGCGCTCACACCTT